GACTCATGGCAGCCCAGCTCCAGGTTGAGCTGTTGTTCAGCATCTTAGCTGTAGAGGGCAGTGTCACTGGCCTTCATATGTGGGATCCGAACCGGGGCCCTCTGGCGTCCCAAGCCAGCTCTTAACCAACGCGCCACTCAGCAGGCCCCCAAGCCAACTTTTAACCAATGCACCACTCAGCTGGCCCCCCTCTTGGAATTTTTATAGCCCAGGGTTTCACTTGTTGCATTCCTGGCATAGAGGGATGGGCATAGACTTTGGAGTCAAACATCCCTGGGTTCAAACCTGGGTTCTGTTACTTATTGGCTGATGAGTCTTGGACCAGTTATTTATTCTCTCTTGGGGTTTTACTTCTTCACTAGTAATGGTGATCATTCCTTTGTAGGTTGTTTCTACAATTAAATTAATACTTGGCAGAGTGCTTGGCATTTGTGAGTGCTCAAGATGTGCCCTGTTATTATCATCATTCATGTTCTTCTAACTTGTGTCTCCCTGGGCATATAATGTGTTTTGCATAATGTAACACATAGGTACTCAACAAATGTTTGATAAATCTCTGCTTTGCATAGATAAGCAATCTGGGCTTTCTCTCCTATCCTGCAGACAGTCCTGGTAGGAAAAATCTCCACTTCCCATTCTAGGTTGAAAATTCTTCTGTTCTTCTGTAACAAGAATTTGAGCATTCTTGTTTGGTTTCCTCTCAATCTTAGACTTGTTCACCTTCAAAATGTTTAGTAGTTAGTACAATATGCTGCAAGGAGGCCCCCCTCTCTCCTAGTAGAAAAGCAAGGCAAAGGAAATCTGCAAAAACAACCAGGCGTGTTAAATTACTCATGTTTATTTATAACAGACCTTCAGCCAGTACAGTACAAAACTTACAGTAGTATATCTCCGTTACACAAATATTTACTTACAATATATTACATATACAAAATGCTTTGCAATAAGTCTCAAAAGCTAGTTTAACTCCCCTTGAGAAAGGAGAAAAACTCTTTTTAAAAAAAAGGGGGGGGTGGGGGAACCAGAGGAAGAGGAGGTGAAGGGATAAGGTCCAAGGAGACACCAAGCATAGGCTACAAATGAAACCCTGGGAGAGAGAAGAGAGGTGGTATTGCACTTGCTTCTGTGTTTTATTTTTTTTCCTTTTTGTTCTTCATAACTTCTGATTAAAAATATATATAATATATATATTATTTACACAAGAAGCTGCCAGAAGTATTATAAAATCCCATCTGCAGCTTGGACACTGACACAAAAAAACAAGGTCTGGAAAAGTGTCTACTTAGAAATTTTTGTGTGTGGTGTTGATTTTGAATATCAATATAAAAGGAAAACACCTCTTTTCTCCAAGTGGGTTTCAATGTATTTTTTTTCTTTTTCTTTACTTTTTATTTTATTTTATTTTATGCAAAAGGAGTTGGGGGAGAGAGCATGAGGGTGTTTGAGGTTCCAGAACTGAAAAGCTCTAGAAAGTAGGATTTTGTACCTAAGACCCTGGTTAAAGTGCAGTGATGGTCTGGAGAGAGACAGAATGCCCTTCTCTCCCCTCCTTAGCACCTGGTCTTGCCCTTCCAGTCTCTGCTCTCATGGGCTCAGAATAGAGTTCTTCATGTTCCAGGAGGTTACAGGTGCCAAAGCTGACTGGGGGAGGAGATGGGGGCACCCTAAGGCTCTGATAAGGGACTGGTCCTTAAGAGTTGTCACCAGAAACACAGCAGACGCAGAAGAGGTGGTAGGGGGTAGATCTAACAGGAAGGGGGGCTCAGTAACCAGAACAGTTGAGAACTCCAGGTATTAATCTCAGCTCTGCTGCCATCCTGAAAAACGGAGCCAGATCCCCGGGGTGCTGTTGAGTAAACCTTCCCCTTCTCTAGAGACCACTCTCCTCCCAGCTAACTCCCCCATCCTCTGCCCTTGACAGCATCTGTTTATTGCTACATTGTCAAGGAGGAACAATCAATCCACAATGCCCCTCCCTGACAATCTGGTTCTCTTGGGGAGGCCACGTAATGGGGGAGAAAAAGGAGGAAGAAGAGTTTTTTTAGGGTCTCCTTTCCCATAAGAGGGTAAGGTAGACTCTTCTTAGAGCCCTTAAGAGCCCCAATCTCAGGTCTGTTCCTTAGCCAACCCTTTACCATCCCCCTAAATTATCCCTGATAGGGAGTGAGAAAAGCAGGAGGCAAAAGAGCCAATAAGGAAAGGACATGTGGAAAGAAAGATGGAAGGGAAGAGAAAAGAGAGAAGGACCAAGTGTTACAACTTGTGAGGTGTTGTGTTTGGTTTTTACTTTCATTTTTTTTTTCTTTAAATATAGAAAAACAGCCTTTGGTTTGAATCTCAAGGAAGCAGAGAATGGGATGGCTGTGGCCTTGGGCAGAGAACTCTTGTAGAAAGAGACCTCCATTTGCAGTGGAGCCGTATCTCCTCCTGCCCCCATCTCACTAACTAGGTTACCCAAATAGCCAGGGGTCTCTGCAGTAGCCAGGAGATTGCCCCCTTCTGCCCTAGGTCTGGGAGCTGAGTGTAGAAGAGGGCAGTAACGGATGAACCCCCTTTCAGTTGTGCCCATCCCATTCTTGCTGGGACAAGAGTGGAATGGGGTGAGGGACAGATGCCCTTGCTCATCCTGGGGTAATTTTTGGTTATACTGAAAAATAGAAGAGAGAAAAGAGACACCCTTTTCTCCATGCCACTGATCCTAAGAACAAGGCCCAGGAGCCCAGAAAAGAAAGGGTGAATCTTGCTGGGGCGGGGAAGAAGGCAGCATGACTGAGGGGTTGAGATACCCCCTTGTCACCAGGCAGCAACCCACTAGTTTCCCATAGGACGGGGACTGTAGGAGCCCCTGAGAGCCTAGGAAGGTCACTAGAGTGAAGAAGTTTGAGAGGTGGAAGAGTACGAGAAGAATTTTTGACCCACCCCCTTCCCATGCCCTGGTTCCCAATTAGGCACCTGTGGCTCCCAACGTGTCAGAGACAGAGGACTGCAGACCTAGCCTTGGCCCCTGAAAATATAAAATTGGGGCATTCCAAGGAGAGAAAAGCTACCACTGAGTAGATGGGCAAGTTGAAGACAGTAGAGCAGTGTTGGGGGTTGTTCGAGGAGAGGGAAGAGATATCACATCCTAGAGGGAAATCCTGAATGTGGGCTTTGGGGAACTCATAGCGGGGAGTCAAGAGAACGCTCAGTCCCACAGTGACTGGGGAGAATTTCTTCAGCCCCTACTTCCAAATGAGGGAATTCTTCATTTGTTCAAGAATAGTGCAAGCTGCCTAAAGTGAGAGGGCACAAGAGGTATGGAGTACCAGGTTGAAGGGTCCCAGAGAAAAGACATAATGCCACAAAGCTAAGGTAGGGCCAGAGGGAGCTATCAGCATTGAAACTAAACAATCACATAATGTAAAAGGTGAGGACTTAGAGCAAGAAGCCCAAGGTCCCTTAGTACTAAGAGGAGCTTCCCACCCTCAGGGCTGTTGGAGGAAGCCAGATCAAAGAGAGAAAAATTAGGTCTAAAGTGGAAAGGGACTGTGGGCAGGAGGGTGGGGGAGTGACAAGTAACTGATGTAAGTGAAAAAAAAAAAAAGCAAAAGCAAAATCAACTAATTATGTTAATAAATAACTCAGTGAGTATGCTGAGGTGAGAGGAGAAGAGAAAAAGGAGAAACATAAGCAAAAGACCTGTTTCATCACAATGCTTAAATCAGTCAGGTGAGGAAGGGTCAGGGTCAAGGGTGAAGTCAGGTAGCCAGTGGTGAGGGCTACACAGCAAAACTCCTTGGGATGTGGTGGGGACAGGGCTAGACTCCCGTAAGTGGGGCAGTGGAGTGGCGGACTGAGGGGAGGGCAGTGGGTTGCTAGCCCACCTTGTGCTCCCCCCGGACAATGTGGGAAGAGAATTCGTACCGGTCCTGGCTGTGGTAACCACAGATGTTGCACTCGAAAGGGTCTCTGAAGCCATGGCAGCCCATGTGGATTGTGAACATGACATGGTCCAGAAAGAGGATGCGGCAGTGCTCACACTTGAAGGCCTTCACGGGCTCACCGCTCTCGCCCACCACCCGAAGCACTTCCTTGGAGGGGCCTGGGGTGCCCCGCAGTAACCCCTCCTGCGGCTTGGGGTCCTCTTTGGCGTAGGCAGGACTGGGCCGGCCCACCACAATGGTGGGAGGTGGCTGGGGTGGGGGACCCTGAGGGAGGGATACCACACCCCCAACCCGATCTTCGTGGTTGCTCTCTGTATCTGTGGAGTCCTGACAGCCATTGCTGGGGGATGCCCCAGGGTCAGTAAGGGGGCCTCGGGCCCGGTAGAGGAGGGGACCTCCATCAGCCAGGTCCTCGGGCCCCTCACCTGCTTCTCGAGACCCTGGAAGCTCCAGTCGACCAGGGAGGGGCTGCATCTGGGTGTAGACAGAGCTGATGACGGGCGTGAGTTCTGAGATGCAATTGGTGGGTGGAAGGCGGAGGGGACGCAGATGCTCTGCTCCCACAAAGGCCAGAGAACCTCCAAAGCCAGGCTCCAGGCCATGGTGTGCCACCAGTTCCACATCCTTCTCGTAGCCACCAGAGTTCACATCATAGGGGAGGTCCGAGAGGCTGAAGCGCATCTGCTTCTCGCCTGTGGAGAAGAGGCTCTCAGCAGGGCTGGGTTTGGAGAATTCCTAAGCTCCCAGGATTAGTTCTTTGTTTTCTTACCCATGGGATATGGCTGTATCGTTATTTACCATCCCTCATTTACTTCCCTCGAGGTCAGGTCCCTTGTGGGGCTGCTCCCCGACTCCAGGCTGTAATCTTAGAGAAGGACTTAGTCCCAGCCCACTGATCTTTACTACCTCTGTCATTACTTTCTATGAAGCTCCAGGTCCTTAGAGAGCTAAGGACCAGGGCCAGGTGGGGGACCTCATAATCACTTCCTCCCTCTGACTCTAAGGGCCCTTCTCTCAGCCCCTACAGACTGAAGTCCTTGGTATCCTCAAAAACTGGGAGAGCCAGAGTCCCCTGACCCCGTCCTTGTAGACTCACTACACGAGCCCTCAACACTGACCCTCGGTACCCTCTCAAGGTCATCATCCCTCTTCACTCCATTCCTGTTCTGGGGACAGATTCTGAGCACTTTCTTTCTTTCCTTCAATCAAATCTCCAGACCCAACTGCTCTAATGGCTACCAGACCTTAGATTTAAATGAGCTGTGGCTTAAGGCTGATGTCTCCTTTCCAACTGGACTCTTACCTACAAACTTCTGGGGGGTGGAACGTTTGCGTTTGGTGAGGCTGTTGGCCAGACGATCAATGAAAGTTGGCCTCTCAGAGGATGAGTGCAGCATAGAGTCTGGCACCATCTCCAGGTCACGTATCTCATCACCTAGGGGGAAGGAGGTGGGGACAGGCAGCTGAGTGGGGGTAACGCTGGCCCAGGAGCCTTCACCTGGAGAAAACCAGCAGGTCAGTAGCCAAGGAAGGTCACACCCAATGCCTGGGAAATTAGGTTCTGCTTACTTCGCCCTATCTAGAGCTCATCCCAGCAACATGTCAGATAATTTGGGGACAATTATATACACTGGACCCTTGATTTTATACTTCCTTGTGTTCCCCCTCTCCCATGAGACTGAGGACATAGATCAAATTCTCCCCTACTTCGGGTCTCTCTGCAGCACCTGCTGGGGGCTCTGCACTAACTGGGGTATTGGCAGATTTCCTGAGGTAACTGTCCCTTTTCCACAGGCCTTATCCCTTATGTGGGGAGGTGCTGGAATCACCCTTGTCCTGCCCTCAGCTCCCCCACAGTCCTGCCGGCAGCCCACCTGGTTGGCCAGCCAGAGCTTGGGCTTCAGTGCTGAGACTCTGCAGGTAGTTGTGGCAGCGCTCCTTGTGCTCCTCTAGGGTACTTTGCTGTTTGTAGCTCCGGCCGCAGTAGTTACACTTGTAGGGCTTGCCCACCGTGGGAGAGGAGACTGTGGATGAGAGAGGAGAGAAATAGCATCAAAGTTACTTTTTCCTGTGCCCTGGCTCAACAAAATCATCTGGGAGGAAAGGTACACTGGCATTAGGAGGAAGGGATCTTGCTCAGTTGAATTTTTCTGCTTTCCTTCCCCAACTTCAGCTGTGAGCAAGACCAGAAGATCAAGCCTTGGAGAAGAAGGACAATGCACAGTTATGGGAGGCGAGCATATAGTGTGCTCAGGGGACCCAGGGCATATAGTGTGGGACTGCTAGTGGGCCTCAAGATGGCCAAATTGCTGCTCAAAGGAAGGAAGGACCCAGGGACTTCGTAGGGGATCACCCCTGGCAGGCAGGCTGGCCCCACCCCAGGGTCTCAGAATCTGGGGCCCAGACTGTGGTTTAACCTTTCCATGTGGCAGACGGTGTCACTGTGGTTTATCACACAAGGGGATTTTTTTGCTTACGAACTTATCTGCTTTGGTTTGGGGGAAACTGGTGGGCTGGGGGAACAGAAGTGAGAGCCCTTAGATCTGCCAATGTGGGGAGGGGCAGTTTTCACTGACCTTTACTTGTGCTTTTTACCTCCACTCCTAGCCCGGTTTTACTGCTTATTTTTCTTTCTGTCTCTCTACACTGAGACACCAGAGAGCCCCAGAGAACCCATCACTGATAGAGAAATTCCGAGAAGAGAAAAAGAGTAAAAGAACAGAGAGGAAAACAAAGGAGAAGAGTAAAAGGAATAGAGCAACTTTGGGGTCTTTTTATTTTATTTTTTTAAAGAACAGGTTATAAAGATTTTGTTTCTACTGAAGAAAAAAGGTTGGGAAAACTGAGATCGACACTTCCTTTAAAGACAACTTTTGAGAGATGGTATTTGTGAGGAGAGAGAAAAAAGTGAGAGAAACAAGGTATTGTATAATTTTATCTTATGTAGCTTGCTACTACTGAGCAGGGAGACAGGAGAAGGTATCTCCAGGAGCGCCCCCGTCCCCCTGCCTAAACTTGGCCTTGATTCAATCAATCGACTACTATCTTGCTCTTGCTCTGTAAAGCCCAGTATTTGGGGGATGAGATGAAAGCCATGGTTCCCATCCACCCAAGACTCTTGGGGGAAATGATTTAACATCTGCAGAGGAGCCCCCTTTTTCTTATAGTGCGGGCTGTAATAGAAAGCATTTCACATAATGGGACCCTACAGTATATCTGTGTCTTCTTCTGTCCCTAAGAATCCCCCAGGGAACATCCCAAATCCCCCTTCCCCTGGCCTGGCTGTTTGTAAGAATTCTAGGGGCCAAGCCATGCTAGTTCCAAACCAGCAGGGGGAGCCGCCCCTTTTCTGAGGAAAAGGAGCAGGAATCGCTGACACACTGGACCTTGATGGGGTTCTAGGGAGGCTGCAGAAAAGCTCTGTGACAGGCAAATCCTTTTTACTTTTTCCAGAGCTGTCAGCAAAATGGGGATAATAACATCTACTTTGGAACTGTTCTGAGGATCACGTAAGGAGACACAATTGAAATTGTGGATTATAAAGCATGAATCAACGATGCTCTTTCTCTGCATTTCTTCACATACATAGATCTAAAGAGGTCCCGGCTCCAAGGAGAGAGAACCTAGAACAAGGTAAGTGGCTGAAAAAAGTAGAGGGTGGTGAAGAGATTGCTCTGTCTCTTTAAATCTTGGCCCAGGAGAGTTTAGGAAAAGAGAAAAATAGCAAGGAAAGTTTCCAAGGACAGACCCTGCTAATTCTTTCCCCTCTGCCCTTCTTCCTGCCTTTTCCCAATCTTGAGCTCCCTCTTTCCAGCCAACTCAGCTCCTGGCCTCTTCCCAAGTCCAAGCCAAAAGCTTAAAAATTAGCAAACTGCTTCTTAAGTGCTATCTGTCCCACTGATTCAGGCAGCTGTAGATTCAGTCTTGGCTGGGCTAGAAAATCGGGTTAGTCCAGTTCCCTGGCACTGTTCCAAACGCTGACCTCCAGGCCCTTGCTCTTGCCGCTGGTAAGGGGAAAACGTCTTGGGATGGGGAACAGAAATGGGATCATCTTTTCCTAGGTTACCTTTCTTCCAGTTTGGGAAGCCCGTGGATATTTTCAGGAATCAGTAAAAAGTAAAGGAGAGGATGGACCTCTGATGTTGCCAGAGGAGGTGAACACAGGTGTGGGGCCCGGGGCAGTGGGAGTGGAAGGAGGGGTTTCCCTGGTGCTCAGAAGTAGGGGGTGATGGGGCACAGATGGTTCTGCCATTAGCATGAACTTTAAAAACATCCAGGGAGGGTGACTGTTAAAGAGCCAAGAACATCACCCATACTCCTTTTGCTCCATGTCACAGAGTGTGGCAGATGTAAAATACCTCATCAAAGAGTCCCCCAAATTCCCCATGGGGCCTGCTGCCCAGAGGATGGGTTAGAGAGGCAGGGCCCTATCCGCTCTGAGAGTACTCTGCCCGCCTCAGTGAGAGATACTGTAACTCCCCAGATGTAAGAGAAGTCGCTGAGCTTTATTTACTGGGTATACTAGGGTCCCCCTCCCTCCTCTCCCACTGGGAAGGTCACTGACCCGAGTGTGTTCGGAGGTGGCCAGTGAGTGCATCACGCCGGCGGCAGGCGTAGTTGCAGAAGGGACATTTGAAGGGCTTCTCCCCAGAGTGCAGCTTGATGTGGCGCAGCAGGTTCCCCTTCTGAGTGAAGGAGGCACCACACTGGTTGCAATGGAAGGGCCTTTCCCCTGCAAGTGAAAGGACAGATTCCAGAAGGCTGGGCATGAGCAACTTTGAAGGCTGGGCCTAGTCCCCCACCCTCTGCCCTGCACTGCCCGAGGGAGGGAAGGTGCTCAGAACACATTTCTGAGAGGCGGGGCTGTGCCACTCACACAAATCCTGCTTAATAAAGATCTCCTGGGAACAGTCTTACCCTGGGCAGGTGTGGATTAGGGGTGTGTGTGGCAAGGAGAAGGGCACCAGGCATGGAACACTGAGCCAAAAGACCATTATCAAAACCCGAGCCCCACAGGGCTCCCTCTGACCCAGGAGCCCAAAGCCCGAGGAAGCTGAGAAGCTTCTGTTTTCAGTTTTGTTTTGTTTTTTCATCATGAGATGAAAGGGCCCAAACAATACCCAGGAGTCTTACCCTGTTGGACTATAGGATCCTTCTTGAGGCTACAACACCTTCCCCTTCCTCACTTCTGAGAAAAATATCAGTTCTTTATAACAACAGCTGAGGAAAGTGCCAGGGAAATCAGGTGTTCAGGGAGTCCAAATTCTCCCACTTTTTTTTCCTCAGCTAGAAAATGTGCCAGGAGAGACCCTTCTCTTTCTGAGGCTACTCCACTCTAGGCATGGCCTCCTAGCACTGCCTCCACCTCCCCAGCCCACCTGGGAGCTCCTCCTGACCTCTGGCTTACTCACCCGTGTGGCTGCGCTTGTGCACCATGAGCACGTTGGGTCCGATGCAGACCATGCCGCAGACATCACATTTGAGCTTGCCATTGGGCAGCCGGATGCCACCAGGGGAGTGAGGCTCTGGCCCACTTCCATCACAGTAGCCCAGGGGCTCCGACAATGAGTCTTCCACGATCACACTATCATCCTTTTCCAGGAGCCGCTCATCTGGCCCCAGCAGTCTGCTTGACTCCTCATCACTGTACATCTCCACCTTGATGGAGTTGGCTAGAGGGTGGGATGGTGTTTAGGATAGAGACAGGCAAAGGGGAGAGCCTGTCCCCAGGCCAGAATGGCACTTCTGAATTCCAAAAGGACTCTCTAAGCCCTAAGACATTCCGGCTTCTAAAGGGGCCAACACCCTAGGCATCCTGAGTGGTGATGTCAGGGTCCTGCTGGGACCTGAAACAAACTTTTTCTCCTATCCCACTGACCAGACAAATGGGCTTCAAGAGAAAGAAGCTGGGGAACATAGGATGTCTTCTGTCACTGAGGAGCGGAGGAGGCTAAGGGGAGCCTACTTCTCCACTCTCTTGTCATTAAGATGTCTGACTTGGCCCTGGGCAGGAAGCCAGTAAGTAACAGTGGCGGGAAAATGGTCCTAGGAAGACCGAAGAGACAGGGGTAAAGAGAAAATAAAACTGGAAGACAGACATGGCTCACATTATCCTCCCACCTCATAAGCCTGAACCCCTCTACTCCCTCCATAAAAATCTGGAGAGGGGGATGGAGAAGGGAGGAGCCATGGAGGAGAAAGCTTTGGCTCTAGCTCTGACCTACATTCCTGGATATTTCAACCATTTAGAGAATGTCACAGATCTAAGGCCAGCTAAGGAGGGGCAGTCATGGGGACCCTGTCTGGGCAGGAGAATTGGGAGAAGTGATGAGGAGGTCCTCCTCATCTATTTCCTATCTAACTCCAGCTCATGATCTTTCTATCTACCTGCTACTCCAACTCCAGACTTTCTTTTTGGGGCCTTTACAAACTTAATCCCACCCATGCCTTTTCTTAATTCTACCCTAGTCTGGCAGCGATTCTTCACTCTCCTTTCAGCAGTCAGGAAAACTCTGGACACTGAGCTCCTTAGGGCTCTTAGAGACTCTGAGCAGGAAGCCAGAGGGAGGCAGCGATGGAGAAATGGCTGCCAATGGAAGATGAATGAGGGCCAAACACAAACGGGGATGCCCAGTGCCAGGGGAGGGATGGAGGGTACACTTACCACTGAGTGAGCGGCTGGGAGAAGAGTGCTGGCTGTTGGGGGTGCTCACCGAGGGCCCCACTGGGGCCCCGAGGAACTCCTTCTCCAGAGATGAGTCCCCGCTACCTTGGAAGAGAGAACAAGAAGGCAGGTGAAGCTGCAGTTGGGAGCCATTTATTGTCCATTGCCTAATCTTTTCAAAATTATGTTAAATTTATCTTGTAGCCATGTACAAGGCAGTGTTGTATGCTGGGCATCATACCTTGTACCCTTGCCAGCCTGAGTGCCCGGTGCTGACTTCCGCAAGCTCAGTGGCTGGGCCTTGCCCACCCTACCTTTATCTAGGCCTGAGGGGAAGAGCATCACTGCCTGACGTCCACAGGAAGCAGGGCTGGGGCTGGGCGGGCCAGGGTGGAGAGGAAAATGGGGGCCTCAGGAGGGAGGTGGTTCAGGGCAGATGTTCTTCCCTATTGTTCCTCTCAGGAGCCCCCAACACCAGATTCGGGATCTGCAGGAAGGTCAGCTGGAATTGTCCCTGAATCTAATGATAATAATAGCAATCACAATGATGGTGGCTAACATTAACTGAGTGCTTACTATGTGCCAGGCATTGTTCTATGCACCTTAAATGCATCATTTCATTTCATCTTCACAACCACCCTATGAAACAGATGCCAATATTATCTTACTTTTGCAGATGAGGAAACTGAGGCACAAAAGAGGCTATGTTACTTGTTCAAGGTCACATAGCCTGTAGTGGTGGGACTGGTGAGATCTGATCACAAATATAGTAAGTGCCCATGTCCTTAATCACCACCTACACAACCAAATGGGACTCACTGTTTCAGTAAGGGAGACTGGGGCCATTAGACTTTCTAAAATTAGCAAAAATTTGACTACTCTAGGAAGCCTCCTATCTGATATGATTCCAATCAGACATTTACTATTTGATGTTCACTTGACAGTGAAATAATCACTTAATTTTCAATGTATTCATTTTAACTTGTTGACAAATTGCTTCGTAAAAATGCTTTTTGAGAATTTCATTTTTTTAAAAAATCAGATAACACACCTGAAGATATGAATCATGTCTTAAAAAAAAAATCCCTCCTCCCCACAATCTTCTACACAAATATATAGGTGAAATAAAACACATGTAGATAAACACACACAGAGACACAGACAGAAATCACATATGTAGATGCACATAAAGAGAACATACCTACTGAGATAAACATCCCATAGCCTTCTACATTATCTGCTAACATGAACATGCATGGATGTGTGCACACAGGCCTAAATATGGAAGAGACACAACCCCTAAAATTCATCCCTAAAGTCCACCTATTAGTACTTTACCCAGTTTCCAAGCTATGCACATACTTACTTTCACAAAATAAAGATTCCATTATAAAATGGTTGGAGTCTTGGGCCTGAGGCAAGAAATCCGGAGCACACCCTCCTGAGGGATCCCTCTCCAGCTTTGGTCAGTGGGAAGAAAACAACCACTCAGGACTTTGGGACCATTTCCCATTCATATCCTCTCCTAAAAGTCCCACTTCCCCCACTCTATCCCATCAAAGCCTGAGGAAATTTGTCCACTATCTATAGAAAAAGCCTTTTGGCTTGAAACTGAGTTTCCCCAGCTGGGGCTCTTTAGGTGAACCATGCTTATCTACAAAAGTTGCCCCAAATCAGAACCACACACATGTAATGAAGTAAGCATCTCAGAGTTGTGGATTGAGACTTGTAGACCCAGACACAGTTTGAAAATATGTCCTTTCAACTACATGTAGAGTTTCTAAAGTTAGAAGGGCTGAAAGGGTATCTTCTCATTCCTCTTCAAACATTAGTGCTGATTTGCCCTAAATCACTTGATGTTAGTAATGGGAAGAAGAACAGGGCTCTGGGCCCTGGCACCGAGTCCTTGACCCTGGAAGGATTAGGAAGCTTCCTGGAAATCCATTGCTGATCCCAGCCTACTAGGCTGAGGCTGCCTCTTGGGGCCAGGGGCTTGATATATGGGGGAGAATATCCTTAAAGGGATATTTAGGAACATTAAGGGGAAAACACCCTTTGTGGCTTTCCCTATTAAGGCCTGGGAACAGGAGGAAGAGCAGGTGCCTCCAGAGTCACAACAGTCGTTCAAGAGGCTCTTTGATGCCATGGCCTTCCCTAGGATAAAGGTAAGAGGGAAAACAGGCTCAAGTCTACTTTTATGGGACTAGTACATAAAAATGAATCATTTCAGGGCTTGGAAAATCTTTATGGGGCCCCCTGGGATTTTGATTTCTAGCTAAAGGGTGAAGGGGACTCGAGTCAGATTTAGGAAGTTCAGCAGTTCCTCTCTTAGCCTCAGAAACCCCAGTGAGGGAATTTCAAATGCCTGGGACTCCCAAGAAATCCCAAACTGTCAAAGCCAAGAATTAAGACTGCTCTCAGGTCTCGAGACATTTTCTTGGTCAGAGTCATTCTGGATTGGTTGAAGCCCCAGAGGGCAAAGCCAAATCATGAGGTTCACATCAGAGGAACTAGGAGGTGGGTATAGGGCAGAAAAGCAGGCGAGACAGGAACCAGGGCAATGTTCCACAAGCTAAACGTGTTTTACACGCTGAAGACTAGCCCTCACTCCTGCTACCCTTTCTGGATCCCTGAGTCGCTACATCTAGGAAACAGCCAGGAGGCGGGAGAACCTCCCCATTTCTCTGCCAAGGACCTCATCCTAACTGTTTTCCCTTTCTTGACCAGGGGCTCAGGGGTGGCAGGATGCTAGCCTGCTAGCAGGTAATAGTGGGTACAGGAGCAAAGAAAGACGCCCATCCTAGCTCTATTGTGGGAGGAGGCCGAGGCCCCTTAGATCTGTTCCAGGCTGAGGCATCTGCTGCCAAGGCTCCTCTTTACCTTGATCCTCTCTGTTACCCATTCCCACCCAGGCCTGTCTCGGCATTTCACCCTGGGCAGCTCTACATCTGTCCCCAAGGCCTAATCAAGATGTCACCACAAGCTCCCACTGTCCAAGTCGCAGTCTTTGCTTAGCAACACCAAACACCCTTTCCCATCCTTCCTCCGCAAGTGTAAGGAGGAACGCCCCCTCCCCCGCCACACACACACACACACACACACACACACACACACAACCCCCATCCTCTCCCTCTCCTCAGGCTCGGGAGTTGTTACTGAATTGGTTCCCTAGCCCCAGCACCCCCCTACCCCCCTCCACTAACCACCTTCTGCCTGAACTTACATTATCCTTCCCTTGCCGGTGAGACCCTGGGGTGCGAATGCGGCCGCCGCCTTGGAAACGGCGAGGGAGTGCGGGTGGTGTGTGCATGTCTGCGTCTCGGTGGCAGGCAGGGGTGAGCCCAGCCACTCACCTTCCAGGAAGCGTGGATTCCTGGAAGTGAGGGGAACCGCCGTCATTTCGCAGGCAGCG